CAATAATAAGTAGCTAAATAAGAATTGGAGAGTGTTACACAAGTTGATATACAAAGCAATAATAATCTATTAAGTCCTTTTTTAAATAATGGGAAATTTAGGTATGGGAAAAAAAATTACAAAAAACTAATTTACATGTGGAGGGTTCTACCATCTTAAGTGGAGCACTCTCAATTAGAATTTGTTTAACTATCATCCTCCTTAAATCTAGATCAATTTTAAGAGCTCTTCAAAATTTGAGGGTCTTTGGTCCAAACCGTTTAAAGCTTTTCACATTTCCCTTCTTTACCCTACCCCACCCCCACCTCACTCCCAGCCATAATCACATGGTAGCCATCTCAGATTGTCCTACAAAAGTCTTGGTCTTTTATTTTAACCGTAATTGTTAGCCCCTAGTAACCCGCTACACATGTGAAGCACTTGGTCCTCCTTCCCCTCTTTAGAAGCATTCTAGAAAATGTTTATTGTAAAAAATACGGTAATGGTTGGTACAAGAGTCGACTAGGTACCTTTTTAATGAGCATGAGCTAGCTAGAAATATATATGTTTTCCTGGGGAGGATATTGAGTTGTACAACTAAAATTGAAGGCCAAGCTTTCTCCATGCTTTGTCTAACCAAAATGCAAATGCATAATATTTCTATAACTCTCTGTTTCCTTGGCTTTGCTTTGCTCACCTTATTTGCTCTTAATACTACAGGAGCTTCAAGTAGCGCTCAAAGCAATGCATCCTGCACTACTAATGATTGCAAATCCAGTGGATCCTGCACTGGATCTGAACACTGTCAAACCAACGCATCCTGCAGTAGTGAAGGCGACAAAAGATCTTGTAATGCAATAAGTGAAGCTAACAGCTCAGGAACTGGCCATCCATCTCCTTCTCTATCTCCTCTTACAAACCATGCAGACCCACCAATCATTGGGGTTGCTCCGCATGGACCACCTAATCCCTTTCCTCCTACAAATCACGCAGACCCACCAATCGTTGGGGTTGCTCCGCCTGGACCACCTAATCCCTTTCCTCCAGAGGGAAAAAGGAAGCAGATCGGATTACTGTTAAGGAATTAGGAGATTCAATCACATCATTGATTGAATTGATCAAATAATATATATGATTCCAGCATTAATGGGTAGATTGTATTTAGGCATTTTAATGTAATGATTTATTTCCTTATATTGTCTACCCTAGAGCTTATATAAAAGCTATTATATGTATCTCTCTCCACACATCTCTGAATTATAATAAAATACCTTTCTTTCAATTCTCTCAACTTGCTTTTACATGCTTTAAACCTTAATAGTGGTATCAAAGCTTTATAGCTCCAAGGAGCCATAAAGATCTTGGTTTTTATTTTTTGCTTCTGCAATTCTTTTTTAACATGTTTTATGTCTTCAATCTTTATTTTAAGTTTGCTAAATAGGAATTTTTGTTCCTTGTTTCTTTACTTTAGAATTTTAGAACAAAAAGGAATAAAAGGCATTTTATTATAATTCAGAGATGTGTGGAAAGAGGTATATATAATAGCCCTTATATAAGCTCTATGATAGACAATATAAGGAAATAAATCATTACATTCAAATGCCTAAATGCAATCTAACCATTAATGCTAGAATCATATATATAATTTTATCAATTCAATCATTGATGTGATTGAATCTCCTAATTCCTTAACAATTACTAGTCGGAACAATTATTGCAGTATTTGCTTTGATGCTTGGCTTAGGTTTCATTCTATTCTTTTTTTCTTGGAGGAAGCAAAAAAAAAAAAGATGTTCTTCCCATTGATATGTCCTTTGGTGATGAACTTCAGTTGGGACCTAGGGAGTTTTCTTACGATGAATTGTCTAAGGCAACAAAGAATTTAGCAGATGAGGAGAAGATTGGCAAGGGAGGGCTTGGAGCAATTTATAAAGGTTTCTTGAGGGATTCAAATACAAATGTTGTTGTTAAAAGGGTTTCAAGGGGGTCCAAACAAGGCATTAAGGAGTATGCATCGAAAGTGAAGATTATTAGTCAATTGAGGCATAAGAATTTGTTGAAGCTTATTGGATTGTGCCATGAAAAGGAGCTCTTACTCGCTTATGAGTTCATGCCTGGTGGTTGCCTCAATTCCCATCTCTTCAAAGGAAGAAGCTTGTTACCATGGAAGATTAGATACAAAAATCGGGCAGGGCATAGCATCAACATTGTTGTATCTACAAGAAGGAGATTTCTGTGTACTGCATAGGGATATAAAAGCAAGCAACATTATGTTAGATTCAGCTTTCAATGCTAAGCTGGGGGATTTTGGGTTAGCCAGACTAGTTGACCATGGAAAAGGGTCACAAACAACTCTACTGGTTGGAACTACGGGTTACATTGCTCCTGAATGTCACATAACAAGTAAGACAAATAAGGAGTCAGATGTTTATAGCTTTGGAGTTGTGGCACTTGAAATTGCATGTGGTAGAAAGTCAATAGAGCCTACATGTGAGGAGCAACAAGCATCATTGGTGGCTTGGGTTTGGGAAGCGTATGGGAACCAAACGCTTCTTGATGTAGCTAACAAGAAACTCTCTATAGATTTTAATGTAAAAGAGATGGAGTGGTTGTTGCTTGTTGGGTTATGGTGTACACATCCTTCTCATGGTATGAGATCGTTAATTACGTAAGCAATCGAGGTGCTTAATTTTGAAGCGCTTCCAAATCTTTCAAGTAAGATGCATGTTGCTAATTATAATGCTATACCTGGCCCTTCTACCATCATAATAAGTGAACCTGGTTCAATGAGCATTACTGCCCCTCGCTAATTTTTGTGCCAAAACTGCCACAAGTACTTTAGACTATTTCAGATTTTCATTGTTATGAAACTTATTTCCTTCACTGTTTACCACAAAATCACGTATTGAGTTGTTTGTTTTGTTTTCTAGTTGTGTAAATGTGGTTACTTAATAGATAAATTTTCACTGTTTACCGTACTGAATCTTATATTGAGCTTTTCCTGCGTCTTGCCTTCCTTTTAGAGGCTGACATGTAACAAATAATCCCCGCAAACAAGGTTCTATCAGTAAAACTCACCATCTTTTCCATGGCGATAGAGATCTTCATCATCAAGTAGGAACACTTGTACATGATCCATAAAAAAAACCAACAAAATAGAACCATGATACATGTATATGAGGCCACTAATAAAATTTTGAAAAAGTGTTTCAGAGCCTGAACTATTTTAGGCTATAAATTAACGGACTCATAAGATTTTAACACATAAACAAAGTAATGTGTGAGTGCTATTTTTCATTCCCTTAAATCCATATGAAATGGTATATCTTCCGTTTCAATGACATGTCAAATTATCATTTTTTAATAAATTATAATCCCATTCTAAATTTGACAAATTTAAGGACAAGATTACAATTATCATTTTTTTTTTCTATATGTTTCTTTTAATTGTCACAGTCAATTGAAATTTACAATTCTAATGATAGATATTAAGGGTCTGTTTAGTTAGAGAGCCACTTTACTAGAAAATATTTTACTAAGAAAGTGATTAAATAAGTCCTGTATAGAAAGTTAAAAAGTGCTGTATGTACGGAAAATTGCTAAGTTTTGTAATAAAATGTTGTTAAAATTTTATTGAGTTATTAACTTTGTTATGTTTAGTAAGAAATTGATATAGAAAAAGTTCTTAAGTGGGTTCATTATAGGGATAATTATATAAAAATATTTTTCTTGCAAAAAAATGTGAGAAGAAAGCTTTATCGGTTGAAAATCATGTCAAGAAAAATAAAGATTAAAAATGCACTTTTACCCTCATTTTGTTATATTAATATGTAAAAATACATAAATAACCTTATAAAGGGAAAAATTATAAAAATTTTAGAGGAAACTTTCCCCCAAAGCCTTACACTGGGCAAGTGAGGCGTCGATTTGCATAAATAGCCTGGTTTAGGACCTTATACCCCCTTTTTTTGTTTACGGACTGATGTGCTAAAATAGGATAAGTTCAGAGGCTTAATAATGGATATTTCCTATTTCTTTTCGGCCATGTTCCCTCCTAATTTCGTGTTAGGTATCTTAAGTAGTCAGGTGCTCCTATAAGTCTTGGTCTTTAATTAATTTTAGCTTTCCATGTCACTGCTAATTACATGCTGGGCATGAAAATCATGATCTTCTTTTCCCTCCTAAAAATACGTTAGAATGTTTTTCACGTTCAAAAATATACTAAAATTACAAATTCTGCTTATAAAAGAAAATGTTTGGTAAAGGTGAAAAAATATTTGTTTTAAAAGTAAATTTTTTTTTATAAATTTAAGATTTTATTAGGAAAAAAATCAAAATTTGATTTTTAAGGTGTGTTTTAAGTAAGTGTTAAAAAAGAAATTTAATTTTAAATTTAAATTACATGATATGCGATGAGGTGATTTAAACAAATGAAAAAAAATGATTGACACACATCTCAAAATTAAAAAAAAAAATGATGACAACTTTGGTTTCGTTACTGTCACTGTAAAGATTGTTAAAGG